TTCTATCTAGAGCATGTCGCAGATGACAGGAGAATACAGGAGATGCCGCAACAAGACATCGAACCACAGTGTCGTAGTACGCCATCATGCAACAGCTCTCTGCATTGTGCTATACTGGTTTGGAAATTAAGGCAGGTCCGACTTCGAGCATGCAGTGGCGTACCAAGTTCACTACAGCCTGCCCTCAGTCCATGTTGTACTGTAACACACCCACATACTAGAAAATGATGATCTGCCACAGCTCCATGGAATACAGAACATGTCGAGATGCGAGCACGTACCAACTATGCCTAGTAGCTATCATGTGCTACAACTAGAACTGAGCTTTAAAAAGCAGGATAAACCTGCATAATCTTCACAGAGATCACATAGATCCTATAACCAACACCCCAAAACATCGAACGGCCGCAAACCTCTGGCGTCAAACTTCTGACGAGTAGCTCCTTCCAGCGGCACCCACAGCCTCGGTTCAATAGGGAAGCACTTGGACCCACAGTCTACCTTCACCTCCATCTTTGTAGGATCTCTCTTTAAACTCCATAGTGGGCTTAACATTAGGACTTCCAGACTTTGTAGGTCAGTCAGGGTTCAGCATACAGGTTTAGTTTGGGCTCTGGAAACTTCTTCGCTTGACCCTGGAGATTATGCACCCTAAACCCTAAACCCTCAACCCGGAACCCTAAACCCCTAATCCCTAACCCCCCTAAACCCTAAATCCTTAGCCCCAAGGCCTAAACCCTAAAGCCTATACTCCTAAACCCCAAATCCTAGAAAGTCCTAAAACCTATTTCCGAACGAAACCTCGATGTAGGGCCTTCCTTATTAGAATAGGGTTTGGGAGTATATTGTACTATGACTATAATAAGGAACCAGTCGAAGCGTCTCTGCTGAATACTGAAGTGATAACTAAATCGCAAACCTTCCTGTATTGTTAGTCTATAGCCCTTGGACAAATAGGTAAGTGGAGCTAAATTTAACCAAAAACCCCAAAACCCCCCTGGAACCCAACAAAACCGGGAAAGAACGAGACTCCAAACCCGAAGCCTAAACCCTAAACCTTAACCCGAAGCCGCCTAGGGTCAGCCCCTCGGTGCCATTCAGCCCAAAAGGCAGCGATGGCTCGGCAGAGGAGTGGCAAATGTGAGGCGGCCGACGGCCAGCCTGAAAATGCACTCGGAAAATCCCAAGATCCCTCAAGGAAGAACAGGGTTTAGGGTTTATAGGGTTTTTTTGGGTTTAGGCTTTTTTTGGGTTTAGGGTTTAGGGTTTAGACTCTCGCAACTCGGGGCAGTAGGTTAAGGGCTTAAAGTTTTGGGTTTAGGGTTTTGAGATATTGCGGGTACTTCTGCCTCCCACTGCAGTATAGGGTTCAGGGTGCTTGTCCCGACATCTGACTCACGACAACACACAGTATCCGATACTGAAACTGAAAGGGAACTTTACCGAAATCCTTTATGCTGACCAATTCACGATGCGAAAGAAGCAGTTACACTTTTACTGCCAAGTGGTGCATAAACTCCAAGCCGCACAACGTCAACTGCTTGTAGCATTCCCCCCAAACACCGTTAACTCGGAAAGTCAGGACTTCCAACCCTTTGAAGAAAGCGGTAATAATTTATGGTTCCCAAGGTTTGCTGTTCGGAACGCATAGTGGTCCATAACATGATGAGTAGAAAAAAGATGTTGGGGTGTTCCGGCTCGCAAGGAAGCCAAGAGAACCTGCAGGTTTTCTTGGTTCGTGCTGTCGGGACGAGGCACTCACATCCGTTGATGGACGAGTCCAGTCTTAGCCCTCTCTTCAAGCAGCCGCGAACCCGAACCCGAAGCCCTAAGCTCGGGAAGGAGTCACCAGGCGACACTCTTGCTCTTTTCCAGGCCAACTTGCAACTTCGGCAAAGGAATCGAACGGCCTAACCTACGGGCCGTTAAGACCAGACTAGGGTTTAGGAGATATTATAGTAGTATCGCTACAATACGGAGCCCTAAGGTGTAATACACGTCCCGCCCCAGATTAAAACTGGTCTGGTCAACATCAGATGCTGAGGAGATGGTGCTGCCAGCAGTCGTTACTTCGAAGAAATCTGCAACCTCTTAATGACTCAATGTAAGGGCCTTGCTAATTAGAATAGGTTTTGTGGCATATTATACTAGAACTATATATAAGAAGGAACCACAAAATAGTATAGGCAATTGTTAAGGTCCTTATATTAGTGCTCATGTTCAGTCGCAACAGCCAAAGGGGTGGTGCCACTAACTGGCTGCCTGGTCCTTGTCAGCCTTGGCCCATAGCAAAAGACGTGCTACACCCATCTGGCCAGCTTGAACTGCAGCGGAAAGTGGGGTGCCTTCCCTGTCCGTTGTAGCCTTGTCCTTGTCAGCCTTGGCCTCAAGCAAAAAGCGCACAACCTCCAAATGCCCGCGCTCAGCTGCAATGAATAGAGGTGTGGCGTTAGTTTTCGTGGCCTTATCCTTGTCAGCCTTCGCCTCCAGCAAGATGTGCACTACCTCCAGATGTCCTTTCTGAGCTGCAACGAGAAGTGGGGTAGCTTCCCTGTCCATTGTAGCCGTATCTGTGTCGGCCCTGGCAGCAAGCAAAAGCCGCACAGTCTCCAACTGCCCTCGATGCGCTGCAATGAGCAAAGGCGTTGTGTTGTTGCTCGTGGTGGCCTTGTCCTTGTCAGCCTTGGCCTCCAGCAGGATGCGAGCTACCTGTAAGTGGCCTTGCTGGGCTGCAACGTAAAGAGGAGTGCGGCCCCTGTCCGTTGTAGCCATATTCTTGTCAGCCTTGGCCTCCAACAGGAGGCGCGCTACCTCCAGCTCCCCATTCTGCGCTGCAACGAGCAGCGGGGTGGCTTCTATGTCCGTTGTACCATGGTCCTTGTCAGCCTTGGCCTCAAGCAGACAGCGCACGACCTCCAACTGCCCGCGCTCGGCTGCAACGAAAAGAGGAGTGATGCCCCTGTCCGTGATAGCGATATTCTTGTCAGCCTTGGCCTCCAACAAGAGGCGTGCCACCTCCAAATGGCCTTGCTGAGCTGCAAAGAACAAAGCTGTGGCATTGTTTTTCGTGGCCTTGTCCTTGTCAGCCTTGGCCTCCAACAACAGGCAGGCCACCTCCAAGTGGCCCTGCCTGCATGCGATGAGCAGGGGAGCTGGATGACCTAAATCTGGGTCTTGCGGCCTTTGCAGAATGGCCTCCACACTTGCTGCAATACCCCTTTCTGCCGCATGCTCGAGCTCTTTTATTTGCCCTGCAGATGCTGGGATGAAGTTTAGAAGCACGAGCTGAAGCTCGCCCGGCTTCAATATGCCTTCGTCGTCACTGTCATTCAACACGATGCCGTCATCCAGAAATGCCAGGCGTTGCCTGAATCTTGGCTGGTGGCACAAGCTCTGCAGGTGCTGCTTAAGTGCCTGGATGGGATGGCTGCCCGCAGCGAGTGTTTCCAGAAAGCTCGCCAATTCAATCGTGAGAAGGGCTTCCCCCGACACCGCGCGAATGCTTAACATCTGCGCACTCGGCATCTAGTGTAGGGGCCTTGATAACTAGACTAGGGTTTTGGGGCATACTATACTATACTATAACCTATGAATAACAATGGAAGCTTACACCCTGAACCCTAAGGAACCGCAACCCAACACTGTTGGTAACTGTTTACCCTTAGCATCATCAAAATAGCCCAAAAGCCATATATAATAGGGTCTTTGGGCCCAAAAGCGTTAAAATAAACCCTAAACCCTAAACCCCTAAACCCTAAACTCCTTGGAGGGTAACTACTTAGGCCCCCTATAGAAGCGGCGACTGTCGACTAAGAAGCCTTTGCAGCTGAGAGCTTCATGCCAGACACGTAGAACCCTGGGCTTACCGTAATGGGCTTTTAGGGTTTAGGGCTTTAGGGGTTTAGGGGCTTAAAGTTTAGGGGTGTAGGGTTTAGGGGGGAAGGGGTTTAGGAGTTTGGGGGTTTAAGGTTTCGGGATTAGCGGCGAAGCCCTTGACTTGGAACTATCTGCGGATGGGTGGAGCGGAGCCACCTGGCTTGGCCGTTTGTGTGTTAAACTCTCCTTCCCACACACAATGTGAACGCTGGGGTTAGGGGTTTAGGGTTTAGGGGTGTAGGGTTTAGGGTTTGGGGTTTAGGTTTAGGGTTTAGGGTTTAGGGAATGGAAACGCATCGAATCGGCCATTGCTGACAATAGTAATTAGTAAGGACAGCCCTTTCAGAAGAAATGGTAACTTTGCCGACAGTTCCTTAATCCGCATAGTTGAAGATCTTGCTTCCACTTGGTATGCAGCTGAAGCCATACTCATATTGACGGTCTGGCACATGCAGCTCGTCATGCTTGATCAAGCATAATCTACTGCAGTGTTTTTAAATTAATGATAACTTTTGAATTGTTATATAGTGTTGAAGGTTGGCTACCAGGTCTACCAACGCTAACAATCCATGTGGCGACAAAGTTCACATACGAAGTTCATATCAGATGGTCAGCCCAACATCCCACAGCACCATGAACCATGCTAGCAACAAGGAAGGGAGCCGTGAAAAGCAAAAACAACTACCCGGGTACAGCCTGCACGAACCCCACTGTTGTCAAACTACTACGCAGTCAACCTCCAGGCGAACCAGAATCTACGTAATCTAGGGACTTAATGATTAGAGTAGGCTTGGGGGGCCCCTTATAGTAGAGTTATAGTAAGGAATCCCCTCCAAAATAATATAGGTAATTG